AAAGGTTTGATAGAATCAGAAATTTAGTGTTTTGCTACTCCATACGATAAGCACTGGACTGCGAACCACAAAGCCACTCTATGGGATAAAGATGATGCTGTCTGCTCCCATGAAGATGTAAAACCTTGGAAACCCTATACAGGGTTGCTATGAGGTGAAACGACTTGAAGACACTTATCAACAGTAACAATACAATAATGAGTACTGGTGACATAGTAGTTAAACACCCAGGTGCAAACTGAAAGGTTGGTGGTTAAAATCCACCAGCCACTCAGGTGGAGTAAGATGAGGCAGTAGGCTTCAGTAATCATTGTTGGTGTTGTTAAGTGCTGTCGAGTCAGTTCTGACTTACAGCAACCCTGTATAGGGTTTCTGAGGAGCAGGTGATGGGTTTGAACAGCCAACCTCATGGTTCAAACTGACTTTGTGGTCCACTGCATTATCCTGCAGTGCCACATCAGAACTACTCTGTCATGAATAGTCTTGGAAATCCTATAGGGCAGTTCTACCTGTATCCTACAGGAATCGACTTAGCAGCAGTAGGTTTAATGACAAAATGAGTCCAGCCAACATTCAGCATATATAATAAATTAGATGAAAGGAAGTTGCAGAATTGATGAAATCACCTGAACCCACTGATCAATCTTAACACCATTGAAAATGGAACAATCAGACATCATGTCCCTCCTAAAATGACACTTGAAAGTACCCTATCTATCACTTATGGAGTAGTCTTGAAAAAATAAAAGCGAACCAGAATCTAATCAACTTCTAGGTCTAAGTCCCAGTTTATAGGTAACACAAGGAATCAAGGAATCTGTTACAGGATACCAAGGAAATGACAAGAGGAACCAAAGTTTTAAAAACAGGAAAAAATGTAATAATAGAAAAGAGACACATCTTAGACTCCTGTTGACCTGGAGATGAGAGAAATAAGAGGAAGGGCTGGTTGGTCCGAAGTGTGGTGAGTCCTGGGGACACCTGAGCCCATGGACAAGGACATAGCCACGGAGGGCTAGAGCTGAGAGTGAAGCATCCAGCTGATATGAAGTGAGGGGAGATGCACAAGAACACCCAAACTTGCAGATAGTACCCATTTGACCGAGCCTCAATGGCTTGATAATCAGAACTCGACTAGAGGAATTTAAAAAAAACACTATTTTTGATAGAGGAAATTGCTACAATTTGATGAACTTGACCTATACTTTTGTAGTAGCTCAAAATACCAACTGAGAGTGAAGGAGTCTTCATATCAATTATCAATCCTATTCCCTCTGTACACAGGATAGATAGGGACAGGCAACTTGGATATTGGCTACCTAAAATCAGGGGGCGTTAAAGGAATGAAGTGACTGGATTACAAGTTTCCAAGAGGTAATTTAGTTTAAGAGTGTGCATGGGAAGATAAGAGTCCCCACTGAATAGTTTGCATCTTGTCTAGTTGGATCTGAGGAAAAGGGATGGGGATAAGATTCTTATGATTCAATAGTGAGTAACTGTTATCATGACTAACTGTGACTGTCATAATTGTAAAGATAGAAGTTTTGTAGCAAAAACAGGGGAGTAGTTAATCTTACAGTCCAGAAACAGAAGACCCTAGTACTATCAAGGGAGAAGAGCACAAATGGAATGTGGGACCCTATCCAGAGAAGCAGCGACACCAGAGATGGAGGCAGAGATAAGAACATGGAGAGAGAGAGAGAGAAGCTGAGGACTCTAGACTCATGGAAAGAGAGGGACTGGGTGCTGGTGGCCAAGAGGCAGGCTTGCAGAAAGAACCCTTTGGTTGTTTAAATTATTTTATATCCCTGAGTGTTTTTGTGTACATCACCACCCTGCCCCGCCACTCCTCCCCAAAAAAACACACAGAAGGAATGGAAGCAAATACTGTTAAATGATGATACACGGAGGAGATTGTATCATTGCAAGGAAACGATAGTGTAAACGTGATGTTCTCCCAATTTAAACTATCACTCAGTTCACAATAAAAACTTGAAAAAAAAAAAAAAAAAAGAGAGAGACACATCAACCAAATGCAATGTTGGCTCCTGATGTAAACAACCAGTAAAAAGGCATATTTGAAATAGGAAAACTGAATACATTCATTTTATTGAGTGTGGTTTTATTTTTCAAGCTTTATCTGTTAGATATATATTTATACATAGGTATCCATATGCATACATATATATCTTAAATTTTGCTAACCATTTGAAAGTGTCAGAAATCATGACACAGTTTACCCACAATACTTGGCATGAAGGATAAGACATTTTGCTGCATGATCACCCCAAATAAAATTAAGTTATTCTATAATGTCATCTAATGTGAAACTGTATTCGATAGTTCTCAGTTGTGCCAAAAATGTCTTTTGTACCTGTTTTTCCTCCTTTTTTTAATATACAGAACACAACTGAGATTTAAGCACTGCATTTGGTTATTATCTCTCTTTAAAATACTCTTACTTCCTCCCCGGTCCCTCCATGTCACTAACTCTTTTGAGATGCCCAGGTCAATTATCATCTAGAATGAGCTACATTCGGGATTTAGCTAGATTTTCTCTCATGATTAGATTCCAGTTAAGTACTGTAGGCAAGAACAATACAGAGCTGATACTGTGTCATTCTTCTGTATCATGATACGTGGCCCATGATGCTAGCTTGTAACACTTTGAATGGCGTTTGTTTTGATCACCTGTTTTTTGTGGCGACACCAAAATCTTTCCATTGGAAAGGTACATTTTCCCTTTTATAATTATTGTATCACCTATGGGCTTATATTTAATTCCTTATGAAGATTCTATTCCCCAACACCTTTTCATCCAATGGTTTTAGCATCCACTGATAAACGTTGCCTTAATCAATTATTGCATTAAGAGGTAAATTAACACTTTAAAAATAGCTCCAAGTCTTTATAAAAGTATTTTTCCTTTCTGTGATCTTTCTCATTTTCTTCTTAGCCTAAATTTGCCTCATTAAAAAAAAATTATAAAAATCACATGGCAGCATTAGAATGGTAAATTGGGTTGCTATAAAGTTTAAATTACCTCTCAGGGCCTTCCAGGTTGCAGCCCAAATTATTATCTGGCATTCCCAACATCAATTCAGGGCAATAAACCGGTATATCTAATGTTCCTCAAATGTATCATTTTCAGAACTCATTCTCCTTGTCCAGACAGCCAGTGTGGTGTCACTTCTATTCATGCAAATCCCTTGCAAAGTCAGACATCCTACTGAAATGTCTTTTCTAAGCCCTGTGCTAGGGTATCTCAGCAGAAAGTGATCTCAACCCTTCAGACTAATAGTTTCCTTTACTTTACACCTTATAGTGCTGTTATCTTCTCTTCAAAGTGTTTGTTGTTGCTATTGATACAAAAATAAAGATCACTATATAGCAAACATTGTTGTTGTTGTTGTTAAGTGCCGTCGAGTCGATTCCGACCCATAGCGACCCTGTACAGGGCAAACATTAGTGGAGACAAAAAAAACAAAAACCAGTTGCTGTTGAGTGGACTATAACTCTTGGTGATCACATGTGTGTAAAGTCGAACTGTGTTCCATAGGGTTTTTGGTGGTTGATTTTTTTGGGAAGTGGATTGCCAAGCCTTTCTTTAGAAGTACTTCTGCGTTCACATAAACCTCCAAACTTTTAGTTAGCAGCTAAGCAGTTGTACCACCAGGGCCTCCTAGTGGACTGAACATCCAGGTTAACGAAAAAATTGTCATTGTCTTCGAAATTTACCTCCCCAAACATATCATTCCCCTCCCTCATTAGATAAGCACTAGCCTGTACAGGGTCGCTATGGGTCGGCTCCGACTCGAAGGCACTTAACAACAACAACAACAACAGCCTGAATTTAATTTTTCTTATTTCCTTTTTTTTCTTTGTTACTTTACTACATTTATGAAGATTCTTACAATAACTTAGTTTCACATGTTCTGCAATTTTATATAAATGGAATCATTCTGTAGACACGTTTTATAACCTGCTATGTCTAGGTAGCATTATATTCCTGAGAGATATGCCAGGATATTGCACTTAGCTATAATTCATTCATTTTCACTGCTATATAGTATTCCAGTGTGTAACTAATACATTGTACTTATCCATCATATTCTTGATGGGCATTACAGTTGTTTCTTGTCCTTTTGTTTATCCTAAACAGATTCTATGAATGTCCCTGTATGGATCTATATAGAGATAGAATTAATGGCTTTGAGAGTATATACAATGTCAACTTCATTTGTTGTTAAATGCCCTGTAGTCAGTTCCAACTCTTAGCAACACTATTTAGGATTTCTGAGACTATAGCTCTTTACAGGAAAAGACAGCCTTATTTTTCTCCTATGTAACTGACTGTGGATAGGATGGTGAGCAATCCAGTTCTTATCCTACAATGCCACATCTCTTTTACTAAGGAATGTTGGTGTTAAGTGCCATCGAGTCAGTTCCGACTCATAGTAACCCTGTATAGGCTGGTGAGCTTGAACCACCAACCTTGCGGTTCAAGCCGACTTTGCAGTACAGCACATGAACTAACCCACAGCGCCACACCAAGACTCCTTACACAGACAGTCTTATATTTCTGGGCTTAGCACTGTGGTGGTGGTGGTTATGTGCCATGGAGTCGGTTCTGACTCATAGCGACCCTGTACGGGGTTTCTGAGGCTGTAAATCTTTACGGGAGCAGAAAGCCTCATCTTTCTCCCACAGAACAGCTGATAGTTTCGAACTTCTGACCGTGAGGTTCGCAGCCTGATTCATAACCACTACGCTACCAGAGCTCCTAGTGGACACTTATTAGCTGAATGATTCATTAATTGATGTGAGAAAATAATTGGAAGATTTTCTCCATTTCAAAATAAAGAAAGTAGGAAAAAGTCTTTGCTGCAACTGTTGTGAAAAATTAAAAGGAAAAAATGAAAGCATATGGTAATATTTTCTAGCATATTTTAGACAATGAAAACCACTTATCAGAAGCAGGATACTTTTTCAGACGGACCCTAATATGTGTTTAGCTTCTTTTGCTCTGGGCCATTCTTCCACTCACTCAAGATCGTCAGTATTTCAGGTGCCTGAATTCGTCTCTTGGGTTCTTTTGCAAGTAATTTTTTTAGAAGAGTTTTCTGTAATGATAATAAGAATCAATGCTAAGAAAAAAAGGTTTTTTTATTGGAAAAAAATAAAATTCTGAATACTTTTAAATGCTTACTTCCTGGGCATCAAATATATCTGAGAAGATACCGTTCCTTAGGTCCTCAAAAATCTGAAAATAAAAACAGGAAAGAATCAACTTGGGAAGAAAAACAAACATAGAAACATCTCTAAATTGTTGTTTGTTGTTGTTAAGTGCCATAGGAGTTGATTCCGACTCAAGCAAACCTGTATAGGGTTTCCGAGGAGCAGTTGGTGAGCTTGAACTGCCAACCTTGCAGTTCAAAGGGCTTTGCAGTCTGGCACATTAACCCACAGCACGAGGCTAATTCTGGAACTTTGGGAAATTCTCTTAAGAAAAGAAGCAAGACCCTCCCAAAAGCTTTACTCCATTAGCAACATTATAGTCAACTGTACTTGGAGGAGCCAGCTCTCCCCCAGTGATATTTTGTGTGCCTTCCAGTCTGAGGGGCTCATCTTGCGACACTATGTCTGACAATATTCTGGTACTACTGATGTTTCGATAGTCAAGAATCTGATTCTAACTGATAATGACAATGCTATTTATTCATAAGGTTTTAAGTGGTTAAACATTTGGGAGTAGTCTGCCTCTCCTTCCTAGTCTGTTTTAGTCTGGAAGCTCATTTGAAACCTGTTCATCATGGGTGACCCTGCTGGTATTCAAAACAGTAGTGGCATAGCCTCCAGCATCAGATCAATAAACAAGCCACCACAGTATGACAAACTGACAGACAACTCAAAATGAAGAATATATGAAATAGGAATTTAAGAAAATTGGAAATTTTCAAAAATGAAATGGAACGCATAAACATTGATATCTTAGGTGTTAGTGAGCTAAAATGGATTGGTATTGGCCATTTTGAATCTGATAATCACATGATTTACTATGCCAGGAATGACCAATTAAAATGGAATGGTGTCACATTCATCATCAAAAAGAACATTTCAAGTATAACTCTGCGATAGGATAATATCCATATGCTTACAAGGAAGACCAGTTAATACACACCAACCACTAATGTCAGTGATGATGAAATTGAAGAAATTATTCAAACATGCAATCAAAACATATTGATAACTATTGGCAGTTTGAATGCAAAGGTTGCAAACCAAGAGGAAAGATCAGTCATTGGAAAATATGGCCTTGGTGACAGAAACAATGTTGGAGAGGCATGATAAAATTTTGCAAGACCAATGACTTATTTCATTACAAATAACTTTTATAAAATCATAAAAGATAATTATGCTCATGTATCTCACCAGATGAAACGTAGAAATCAAACTGATTACATACATCTATGTGAAGAGATGGTGGAAAACCTCCATATTATCAGACAAAACCAGGTTGAGGAAGAGTGTGGAATTGTTCATATGTAAGTTTAGGCTGAAACTGAAGTAAACTAAAACAAGTCCACAAGAGTCAAAATATGACCTTGAATATATCCCACCTGAATTTAGAGATCACCTCAAGAACAGATTTGATGCATCAGACACTCAAGATCAAAGACCAGAAGAGTTGTGGGATGACATCAAGAAAATCATACAGGAAAAAAAGCAAAAGGTCATTAAGACAAGAAAGGAAGAAAAAACAAAATGGGTATCAGAAGAGACACTTGCTCTCCAACATAAGGATGCTAAAGAAAATGGAAGAAATGATGAAGTCAAAGAGCTAATCAAAATTTCAAAGAGCAGCTCGAGAAGACAAAGACAAATATTATAATGAAATGTGTACAGACCTGGAGTTAGAAAGTCAAAAGGAAATCCACGATCAGCATATCTCAAGCTGAAAGAACTGAAGAAAAATTCAAGCCTCATCTTGCAATACTGAAGGATTCTATGGGTAAAGTATTGAATGATGCAGAAGACATCAAAAGAAGATGAAAGAATACACAGAGTCACTGTACCAAAAAGAAATGTTTGATGTTCACCCATTTCAAGAGGTAACATATAATCAAGAGCCAATGGTACTGAAGGAAGATGTCCAAGGTACACTGGAGGCACTGGCAAAACACAAGACTCCAGGAATTGATGGAATACAAATTAAAATCTTTCATTTCAATAAACTGATGAAGCACTGAAGGCACTCCCTCAACTATGCCAAGAAATTTGGAAGGAAACTACCTGGTCAACTGAATGAAAGAGATCCATACTTGTGCCCATTCCAAAAAGAAGTGACCCAATGGAATGTGAAAATCATCAGATGGTATCATTATGCAAGCAAAATTATGCTTAAGATAATTCAATAATGGCCACAGCAGTACACAGAGAACTGTCAGAGGCTTGAGCCAGATTCATACAAGGACATGGAATGAGGGCGTCAGACAGAGCTTGGCTAAAAACAGAGAATACCAGAAAGATGTTTACTTGTGCTTTATTGACTATGCAAAGGCTTTCAACTGTGTGGATCACGACAAGCTATGGGCAAAACTGCAGAGACTGAGTATTCCGGAACACTTAACTGTGCTCCTGAGGAACCTGTACATAGACCAAGAGGCAGTTGTTCGAACAGAACAAAGGAACACTGAATGGTTTAAAATTAGGAAAGGGCTCCACCACAGCTGTATTCTTTCACTACACTTATTCAATCTATATGCTGAGCAAATAATTCAAGAAGCTGGGTTATATGAAGAAGAACATGGAATCAGGATTGGAGAAAGATTTATTAACAACCTGCAACATGCAGATGATACAATCTTGCTTGCTGGAAGTGATAAGAACTTAAAATACTGATGAAAATCAAAGACCACAGCCTTCACTATGGGTTGCACCTTAATGTAAAGAAAAAAAAATTCTTACCACTGGACCAATAAACAACATCATGATAAATGGAGAAAAGACTGAAGTTGTCAAGGACTTCTTTCTTCTTGGATCCACCATCAATACTCATGGAAGCAGCAGTCAAGAAATCAAATGACGTATTGCATTAGGTAAATGTGCTGTACAAGACCTCTTTAAAGTGTTGAAGAGCAAAGATGTCAGTTTAAGGAGTAAGGTGCACCTGACCCCAGCCATGGTATTTTTAATAGCCTTATATGCATGTAAAAGTTGTACTCTGAATAAGAAAGAACATAGAAAAATTGTTGCATTTGAGGTATGCTGTTAGAGAAGAATGTTACAAGTATCATGGACTGCCAGAAGAACAAACAAACCTGGGTTGGATGAAATACAACCCAAATGCTCCTTAGAAGCTAGGATCTCTCATACTTTGGATATACTATCAAGAGGGTTCAGTAGCTAGAGAAAGACATCATTCTTGGTTAAGTGGAGGCTCATCCAACAAGATGGAATGGCACAGTGGCACCAGCTATGGGCTAAAGCGTAACAACGATTGCGAAGCTGGCACAGGACTGAAGTTGTCAAAGACTTCATTTTGCATCCATCATCAACACTCATGGAGGCAGCAGTCAAGAAATCAAATGACATATTGCATTAGGCAAACCTGTTGCAAAAGAACTCTTTAATGTGTTAAAGAGCAAAGGTATGAGTTTGAGGACAAAGGTGTGACTTACCCAAGTCATGGTATATTCAGTCATCTCAAATACATGTTACAGTTGGACAATGAATAAGGAACACTGCAGAAGAACTGATATATGTGAATTATGGCTTGAGAGAAGAATATTTAAAAGTACCATGGACTGCCAGAAGCAAAAAAAAACAATCTGTGTTGGAAGAAGTACAGCTAGAATGCTCCTTAGAAGCCAGGATGGTGAGACTTTGTCTCTCATACTTCAGACATATTATGAGGAGGGACTAGTCCCGAGAGAAGGATATCATGCTTGGTAAAGTGGAGGGTCAGGGAAAAAGAGGAAGACCCCCAACGAGATAGATTGGCATAGTGGCAGCAGCAGTGGGCTCAAGCATAAAAATGATTGTGAGTTGGTACAGTACCAAGCAGTGTTTTGTTCTGTTGTGCATAAAGTCACTATGAGTCAGAACCAACTAGACAACATACACTATCCCACTTCTTTCTTTTTGAAGCTCTATAGATAAGGAGCTCTGGTAGCGTAGTGGTTACAAATCGGGCTGTGAACCGTAATATCAGCAGTTCGAAACTACCAGCTGTTCCGCAGGAGAAAGATGAGGCTTTCTGCTCCCATAAGTATTTACAGCCTCGGAAACCCTGTATAGGGTCACTATGAGTCAGAACTGACTCCACGGCACATAACAACAACTCTATAGATGCTTTCAGTATTCCTATTTTACAAAGGAGAAGGCTGTTGTCTCCAGGTGATTTCTTTCTCCTAAGCTTCATACTTAGATCACCAGTTTTTTAACACCTTTAGAGGAGAGCCCTGGTGGAGTAATAGTTAAGAGCATGTATGCTACCCTGAAAGGTTGACTGTTCAAACCCATCCAGCAGCTCTGCAGGAGAAAAACCTGGTGACTTACTCCAGTAAAGATTACAACCAAGAAAATCCTATGGGGTAATTTACTCTGTCACACAGAGTCATTATGAGTTGGAATTGACTTGGTGGCATTTAACAACACTGCCATTACTGGTTCTCCACTGCCAACACAAAAAGTCTATATTCTTTTGTCAATTTAGTCCCAGCCTGTCTTTCTAGCCCCATTAACCACCACTTATTTGTACCTACATGCTCCAGCAAAATAACATTGCCTGCTGTTCCAAACTTATCCTGCATGGTCCTGTCCACATGCTTAAATCACCTTCGTCCTGTACTGGAAACCAACTGAACACCAACCAACACTTTACAGCCCTGCTTAAATGCCTCCATGAAAGCAAAATCCCTACAGCTGGAAAGATCTTACTTCTACCTGCTTCCATAACACTTTGTGCCTCCTTCTGAAACATTTCTTATATTTTCTTATGTTCTTCCTATCTAGTAAATAAATACTTAAGAACAACCCTTATCCACTTATGTAATTCTCAGCTTAATGTTTTACACAAAGCAAGCAATCAATGAACATTTACTAACTGACTTGAATAAAAAGAAACAGCTCTAGTTTTATGAGGTATACGTTCCAGACAAGATCAGTTTTTGGGCCTTTAACTAAATGGTTGTAAACTTGAAATAGACACAATCCATTTTTCATTTGCAGTTATCCTCATACAAGGACAATCAATAACTTTTGGCTGCAACACTTTGTAGCTAACGGTCAACAATTTTGATTCCTAAATCTTTTTCCCCCCAACATATTTGTTTTTATTTCTTTTCTATTAATTCGTTCTTTGAGATTATTTACCTTGAATGTTTCCTGAACAGAAATACATATGTGAAGAAGTTCAGCAAGAATCAGCCCCAAAGCAAAGATGTCCACTTCATTTCCATAGTCTAGAAACGACAGCTGAAGAGAACAAAATATAGTGATGTCTATTACTTACCCAATATAAAATATGCAAATACCCAATATAAATATGTATGTGTTCTGAAGGCAAAAAAGGTGATTTTACCAAACTATTGTTAAGTCAACAATGGATGTTTGTTAATGGGAGCAGTGGAATCAGAATGCTCAAGTTCAAAGAACAGCTTTGTCACTACTCAAGTTAACTATAATGTGGGAATAATTGCAACTATAAAATGAAGACCACAATAGTGTTTGCCTTCAAGATTGTTGTGGGGGTTAAAGTGAGATTGTTGTTGTTGTTATTAAGTGCCGTCAAGTCAGTTCCAATTCATAATGGCCCAGTGCAGGGTTTCCAAGGAGCAGCTGGTGAGTTTGAACCTCCGACCTTGTGGTTCAAACCAACCTCGTGGTCCTCCACTGCACCATGAAGACCTTTAAAAATACTGCTTGTTACTGTTGCTGTTAAGTGCCATCGAGTCAGTTCTGACTCATTGCAGCAGAGGTAAAAATTTAACTTGAGTGCTTGTCATGTGGAAAGTGCTTGAAACTATTAGAATTTATTATAATTCTTGACTTAGGAATGCTAGATTGTACATTAAAAACTTTAATACAAAAAAAGACAAATGAAAAGCTTAAACCTTTACTCTTATACATTTACTGAGTTGTTTGACTGTCACTACAATCAATCTTAAAGCATCTTTGTCACTCCAAAAATAAACATGCACTCCTCATTAGCAGTTATTCCTCATTTCTTCCCAACTCTCCTAGCTCTGCCCAGCTACTAAATCTATTTTCCATTTCTATAGATTTTTTTTTTTATTCAGGACATTTCACATAAGTGGAATCATATAATCTGTGGTCTTTTTCACTTAGAATGTTTTCAAGGTTCACTCATGTAGGATGGGTCGCTACTTCATTTCATTTTATGGTCACATAATATTGCATTGTATGGATATCCACATAGTGTTTATTCATTCGTCAGATGGTGGACAACTGGGTTGTATCTACTTTTTGGCTATTATGAATAATACTTCTATGTGCATTTGTGTACAAGTTTTATGTGGACATATGTTCCCATTTCTCTGCGAGTATGCCTAGGGGTAGAATTCCTGGGTCATATGGTAACTCCTTCCTCCTAATTTTGCAAGTCAACGTTATTGCCCATCTTTCAGAACCCAAGTCTGCCTCTGTTGGAATCAAATATTTAACGAAATTAGGTGATTAAGACGTGAAATAGAGTAAAATATCACCAAAGATGCTTCTTCTATAAAAAATACTTGTATGCAAATGTTCATAGATGCTTTATTTATAATATTCTAGAACTAAAAACAAAATCCATCAACAGGAAAATGGAGTGGAAAATTGTGGTCTATTCATACAATGAACTACTGCTCAGCAATAAAAAGGAAAGTCTACTGGTAGATGCAACAACTATAAGTATCCCCACCGACTTTGAGTGAAAGAAATCAAATGCAAAGGAAAACATACTGCAGGATTCCATTTATATGAAGTCTAAGGACAGGAAAAATGAACCTATGGTGTGGGAATTCAGAACCTTGGTTGCTTCCGTGAAGTGAGGAGGAGGGAATGACTAGAAATGGGCCTGAGGGAATTTTCTTGGGAGATGAAAATGTCCTATATCTTCACAGATTTGTACGTTACATAGGTATACACATTGTCAAAATCAAACAATGGACTTGAGATCTATACATTACTGTATATCATGCTTTGCTCAATAAAATGTTTTTAAATTAATAATAATAATAATAACCTCCAAAACAGAAAAACACAATGATGAGTGATGTGTTTTAAAATTCTGTGACAACATTGGACACAGGAGATATTTAATAAAGTTGGGAGTTAAAAGGGAGTCATCAGCCCTCTACTGTGTTCCTTTTTTACACTCTTCACAAAATTTCAATCACGTTTTGTGCCAAGCGGTCCAAGCCATCCCCAAAAGGAAAATGTGGGAGCCTTTTTCATCAGAGACTTTCAAACCATTAGAGAGCTAAGTATATTTCTTCTTGGTAACAAAATTTTATAAGCTACATTATCATTGAACCATCTTTAAAGAGCAATAGGGAAAACTGGATGATAAGCCCAAAAAGATGAAAAATGAATAATCAACAACAATGATCACGCCATTAGAATAGTTAGTTTATACATAAGATACCAAACCACACCCTGCTGTTGAGTCGACCCTGACTCATTGCAACCCTAGGGAACAGAGTAAAACTGCCCCATAGGGTTTCCGAGACTGTAAATCTTTTAAGGAAGCAGACTGCCACATCTTTCTCAACAGAGCAGCTGGTGGGTTCAAACCATCAATCTTTTTCTGCTTCGCAGTCGAGGCTTTAACCACTGTACCACTGGAGCCGCTTATATGTAAGATAAACATTCAGAAAAATCAATAGCACCACTAATAACCAATTAGATACAAAACTCCCATTTTAATAGAAAAGCGTTATACACATTCAGAGAAAAGCCTAAAAAGTATGAACAATCTTCATAAAGAAAACAATTATTTACAAACATCACTGAAGACTATCAAAGCAACCTTGAGCTAGGTTGTGTTGTTGCTCCCAGTTGTTTACTCTCCTCCTGGTGATTATTACAACATGTGTGTACATGTAAACTGTTGTAAACTCTGCCTCTGGCTCAGCTATGCAATTTGCTCTGGGTGATGAAATGTGAATAGAAGTCATGGATACAACTGAGAAGCAGAACCAATAAAGGCCATCATAAGGGTCTACCATTGCTTCCTGCCATGAGGGCAGCAATGACCCAGATATGGTTTTTTCTTGAACCTGGGTCCTGGAATGAAGTGCACACATGAATCTAGCCTGTGGCCAACAGGTAACGTCAGTAAGAATAAACCTGTGCTGTTCTGTAAGCCACTAGGGAATTACGGATCCATGCTATTAGTACCAGAGCACACCCCGCAAAAGCTGATGGGTGGAGGGCTTGATGTGAGAAGCATTCTCAGTTCAAACCCTTAATTCAAGGCAACTGCAGTCAACATCTTAACCCCAGTCACTATGGAACATGATAAGCTGACTCTACAGTTCACTTGGACTAGTAAGAGTACAAGAACAGCTCCGCAGGAGAAAACAGAGACTTTCTACTACTGTAAATAGTTACAGCCTCAGAAAGGGTCGCGATGAGTTGGAAACGACTAGATGGGAGTAGGTTTTTGTTTTGTTTGTTTTTTTTCCCTTTGTTTTTTTTCCCTGAGTGGGGTTTTTTGTTTGTATGTTTTTTAAAAAAAGCTAAAGTGGATAAAGAGAAATACTTTTTTTAAAATTTTTATTAAATATTTTAGAAATCTGGTTTACTTTTGTGCTGTGATTAGTGAATGACTGTAGTCAAGTCAGAATGAATCTTGGATTCATCAATGTGCTCCACAGAATGAGGTCCAGCCCAAACAGTGGCTTCTAAGGAGATCTGTTGGGCCAGTTAGATTTAAGGCAGAGAGTTCATCTCAGAGAGGTTTGTTGATGTAAGTTTTGGGTTTCCAAAGGGGTGTTCTTGATAAAATTTTCTTGAAGGGCATTGAACGATCATGGGAGTTTATTAGGAAGAAGTTTTCAGAAAACTGAAAGCTACTTTGCAGAGAAAAGGGCCAGGATAGTTGCACTGAAGAATTTTTTTCCTCATGAGATGAAGTTGCTCATACTTGGAGGGTAGCATGGCTGCCCTTTGGAGTTGAAAACCTTAACCCCACCCATCCTACAGCCTTGATCTTGCCATTTTAGACTTCGTACTGTTTCTTGAACTCAAAGAACATTTAAAATGAATACTATTTGAATTCCTCAAAGAAGCGTAAGCTGCTGTTTTGTCATGGTATAAATCGAAGCATGCAGCATTTTGGAGGGAAGGGCTGTTGTTAAGTGCCATCATATCAGTTTGAACTTTGTATTAGCTGTTCAGTGCTTATCCTACAGCACCATACCTGTGGAAAGGTTGTTGCTGTTGTTGTTAAGTGCCGTTGAATCGTTTCTGACCCATAGTTACTCTGTATAGTGTTTCCAAGGAGCAGCTTTGGTGTTTGAACTGTTGTCCTTGCGATTCAAACTGACCTTTCTGTCCAGCACGTTATCCTGCAGTGCTACACTAGGACTCTGGGGGCAAGTTAGATAGAAACACTGTCTTCAGAAGTTTACAGAACCAGCTGGAGGGTATAGCAAGAAGCAGTATCTTCACATTTTGATACTTTTGTTTAACAAAAGTTTCCATGAATTTTCACTTTCTTTTATCTTAGCAAGGAAGAATCTAGAATGGAATAATTAGACTATGGGGACAGTTTTTAAGGCAGTATCAAACAGAGCAGCATTGTTCAGTAGAAATACAAGAGGGTTTCAAAAAATTAATGAGAAATACATATTATGAAAAAACTATGCATGGATTTCAATTTTTTTTTGTGTGTGTGTATACTTCAAAATAAAATTAACTTGTTTTAAGATGTCTGAAGAGGATCTAGTTTGAGGCACTAAGAAAGGGATGAATCCATTTGAAAAGAGCCCTTGCTAGAACAACATGAACTCTGCTAAAATGAAAGCAAGAACAAATATAAAATTTATGATGACGCTTGAGCGAAAGAATGGTGAAATCATTAATGCTTTACAAAAAGTTTATGAAGACAATCCCCCAAAGATATCATCAGTTTCAAATGGATAGCTTGTTTTACGAAGGGAGGATATGAGGTTGAAGATGAAGGATTGTCACATCTGTAATTGTAGAAGATGTGTAATTAAAAGAGGAAAGTAGTTAATCTTTCATTTCAGTAACAGGACCCCAAGTCCACCTAGAAGGAAGAGCATGAGTGGAGCATGAGAACCTACCCAGTAAAGCGGTGATAGCAGAGACAGTGGCAGAGGCAATGGCATAGAGAGATAGAGCAGCTGAGGACTCTATGCCCATGGACTGAGAAAGATTGTGTGCCTGAGAGCAGGAGGCTGGCTTGCAAAATGTGCCCTTTGGAAAAATTAATTGAATATATATTTTTTGTTTTGATGTGTACATCCAAAAAAAAAAGTGTCTTGACTTTGAGGGAGTTGTTGTTGAGAAATAGTTTATATATTTAATTTAAATCTTTTTATCCATTTTTCCATGAACTTTATGTAGTAGTCTCTTGAAATGTTAGCTACATGTATAATTTTTATCTAGTAATTACATTTTTTTCCATTGTGAACTGAGTGATAGTTTACATAGGAGAATATCAGCTTTACACCATTGTTTCATTGCAATGATTACCATCTCTTCCATGTGTCATTATTCAACGGTATTTGCTTCCACTCCCTCTCGTTTTTTGTTGCTTTTTTTTTTTTTTTTTTTGGATTAGGGGGGACTTGCCTTTTTGGAATTTACAGTCTCGGCTTTTAGGGAAGGTTTTTACATTTGTCTGTGGATATCCAGGGCTCATGTATGAGATTACTAACAAGCATTACTGAATAATCAGTGAGGGACAGTTTGCTATGTCTACTAGGTGGCTAGAGTCTGATCTCAGAGCTTATGGTTTGGACGGTCAACAATGCTTGGGCCCACAGGGTCTTGACCTCCTGACCGGGTCTACACGGTCTGCATCAGATTCCCCCTTATTTATTGTTTGTTTAAGGGACGCTGCCTGTCTTAGGTGGTCAGTGCGGTTTTTGTTTTTTTTTTGAAGAATGGCTACAAGCATTTTGAAATTGAAGAATAATGTCGGAAGTCATGCTGCCCAAATACTGAAACTTGTTTTATAACGCTATATTATTTAAAATAACAAAGGGAAAAAAATAAATCAAGGACTCTAGAAATAGATCCATTTCTGTGTAAAAATCTAATAGACAATCAAATAGTATTTTAAATCATCAACTATTTAATACATAATGATGGGATAACTTCACATCTTCACATGGGAAGAATAAAGTTATTATCCCTTTCTCATAAAAAATAAGTTCCAGTTAAACTATGTACTAGCAGAAAACACAAAATATTTTTAAATCTTTGGGGAAGAAATGGCCTCTAAAATAAAAACGGAAAACTCCACAGTCATAAAATAAAATATTGATAGATGACAGGTGATGGGGATAAGACTCATGTGGGTCAATAGTGAACGACTGCTATCAGGACTGACTGTGAGTGTTGGAAACGTAAAGGTAGACATTTTGTAACAAAAGGAGGGGAGTGGTTGATCTTGCAGCCCAGGAGCGGAGGTCCCTCAAGGGAGAAGAGAAGAGTGTGGGACCCTACCCAGAGAAGCAGTGATGCCAGGGATGGAGACAGTGAACTATTTCACTAAAAATCAGAAAAATGCAAATAAAAAAAGCTACTCCTCATTCTTAAATTTTGTGTGCTAATGTTCTACTTTGAGGATATGAGAAACAGCATTCTCATGCATTTTGGTGGGAGAGTATATTAAAATCACTTTTCTTGGATGACAGTTTGACAGCTTTTTATAAAGTCTGAAGTGTAACTTCATCTCAAGGAATCTCTATAGATTAATCCCATGGAAATATCTGTTCCTGAGAACCAAAAATAAGAAAGAAGAATGTTCATTACAACATATTCGTGAATGTAAAAAGTTAGAAAACCTAAATAAAAAATTTGTCGATATGGAAGAAGGTAAATAAATTGTATTCTGGGATACAATGTAGTTGTTTAAAAGAATGTACTATTTATACTACCTGTTTGTACTAATTATGGAAAAATTATTCAGTGAAAAAAGTCACAAAATAGCATCACAATGTATTTGTAAAATATGTGTTATTATGTAAAAATATTTGTGTATATGTTTTTGTTTGTATACTTTTACACACTCCCCAGAAAACGACCTAAAAGGGCAAACAAAATGGTAAGAGTAGAAGTAGAGAGGAGAGTTAGGGGAGATTTTCCAATTGTATTCATTATACATCTGTACTGTTCTAATTTTATAAGTACTGTCAATTATTTTTACAATTAAAAACAAACAAACAAATGAAGTTAAAAAAATATAAAGACAGAAAAGGCCATGGTCTGTACCTGTTCTGGGCTCATGTACCGGACCGTTCCCTTGTCAGCTGTTCGCTTTTCATCATTTTCTAAGGCTGTTACAAGTCCAAAGTCTCCAATCTTTATTTGATTTATAGCTACTAAAAATATGTTACCTGGCTAAGGGGGAAAAAAAATGTATTTAACTTACACATACCAACCTAACATACTTTTACAACATATCTAAAGCACATTTAGCAACAACCATTTTTCTGTGACTGTGTAAGTATTTTTCTCATGCCATCTTTCCACATGACCTTACACACCTTACATTTATCCTTACACAGGTAGCCCAAGTCAAAGAATTTTAAATCACAGGTCTTTAAAATATCTGCTGAAGGAAATAAGAAAAATTTCAGCTGACAGCAGAGAAGGCTGGGGGCACAACTACTTTCAAATATCTGAAGAACTGTCCAGCAGGAAGTGGACTGATTTTGTATCAAGCCAAGGAACAGATAGTGAATAAACCAAACTAAACTCAACCCCCTGTCACTAAGTCAATTCTAAGTCACAGAGCCCCTATGTAGGTTTTCTAAGACTGCATGAGCAGACAACCTCATCTTTCTCCCAAAGAGTGGCTGGTGGGTTTGAACCTTGTAGTGAGCAGCCAGATGCTTAACTCCCTGCAAGTTGGCAGCTCAAACCTACCAGGGGCTCCTCGAAAACCTTATACAGGGTTGCTATGAGTCAGAATCAAATCAATGGCACTTAGTAAAAGCCACAACAATCTACTAACAGAGGCCGTGATGGTCCAATGGTAGAATTCTCACTTTCCACACAGGAAACCTGGGTTTGACTTCTAGCCTGCTCTCCTCATGGGCAGCCACCACCTGCATGTCAGTGGAGGCTTGGATGCTGTTGCTATGATGCTGAACAGAGTTCCTGGGTGGCACAAACGGTAAGTGCTCAATGACTAGCTGACAGGTTGTTAATGAGAACCCACTCAGAGGTACCTCAGAAGACAGACCTGGCAATCTGTTCCTGAAAGGTCACAGCCATGAAAAGGCTATGGAGCAGTTCTTCTCGGCACACATGAATCTGAATCAACTCACAGTAGTGAACAAATATCATGTTGAACAGCTTTCAGTGGAACTGCAAGACTAAAATGGAATAGGAAGAAAGGACTGGCTATCTACTTCTGAAAATCAGAAAATGAATACCCCATGGATCTCAACGGTCTGACCCACAACTGGTCATAGGGATTGCATAGGACCAGGCAGCATTTTGTTTCACTGTGCATGGGGTCACCATGGATGGGAGGGGGGAGGGGGAGGCAATGCCAGGGCAGCTAACAACAACATTACATTAATAGTATGGTTCCATGAACAGGAGTTAAATAATTGCCCACCCCAGAAAGCATACAATCTAAGGTTAAACATCCACTTGCTGGGAATGCTGCAAATATGAGTCCAGGACCTTAAAAGGGTGAAGCAGATAACCTTAACCCACCCACTGCTATCAAGTTGATTCCGACTCATAGCAACCCTGTATAGAGTTTCCATGCCTATAAACCTTTATGTGAACAGAAAGCCTACTCTTTCTCCACAAAGTGGCTGGTGCGTTTGAACTGCCAGATTTTCAGGTGCAGTCCTGTGCTTATTCTACAGCACCACCAGGGCTCCTTAAACAAACACAAGCCTTTCATCTTGACTGGAAACTAAGTTAACTGGAAGCTCATCACTAACACCAGGGGATTTTTTCCCCCTGAATTATTTAAGAAAACAAAAATTTTAAAGGATAGCTAAACAAATCAATGTTATCAATGTTGAAAAGACAAGACTTTCACCACAGTGACGATACACACACTGATGCGATAACAATGATGGGAGGGTAAGTAACAAATCTGAGAGGAGAGACCACATACGCCAAGAGAAATCTGCAAGGGCAACTTCCAAGAAGCCAGCCTGAGAAGGTTCATGGAGAAATTGGCAGTTAGATTAGAATTCAGTGATCAGATGGAACCTAAAGTCAATAACATAGATGGAAAGGTGCACATGCATACAAAGTATGTGGCAAGAGGAAATCTCTATACTACCTTAAAGTTGAAGCATGGTGGCTCTGTAGGATAAGCAATGGACTTTGAACCACAAGGTCAGTGGTTTGAGCACACTAGCCACTGTTCGAGAGATGGAGGAGGTCTTCTGATAATGAAAAGATTTAGACTTGGAAATCTTACACAGGGTCACTATGAGTTGGAACTGATTCAATGGCACAAAACAACAATAACATCTTAAAGTTACAAAGTAGGACAAAGTTCGACTTGCAATTTAAATTGCTAGTCCCATCTAAGACCTAGACTCACAAATAGGAGGTTGATTTGGTGATGCTGTCTAAGTATAAAACTGGGGGGAATGATAGTCAAAACATCACATCGCCTGTTAGCTGCCCTGGCATTGCCCACCCCCCCATCCATGGTGACCCCATGCACAGTGAAACAAAATGCTGCCTGGTCCTATGCAATCCCTATGACCAGTTGTGGGTCAGACCATTGAGATCCATGGGGTATTCATTTTCTGATTTTCAGAAGTAGATAGCCAGGCCTTTCTTCCTATTCCATTTTAGTCTTACAGTTCCACTGAAAGCTGTTCAACATGATATTCACTAGCCCAGAAGATCTTTAGAACAATTCTTTAGAATGAGATTTGTGACAAGTTCTAGACCCATCCTCACTTCAAAAATACTTCCTCATGAGTATCAATCTTAAATTCGAAAGCTAAAGAAGATGGATTTTTAACTACTGTGGGGCGAACAATGAACTTTATTCAAAGGTCTTGGTCCTTGGTTCCTGAAAGGTAACTTCTAAATACTTGGAATTTTCCAACCGAATGGAATCTTTTTTTTTTTTTTTTCCCCTTAGTTTATTACCAATTTGAATTGTCTGTGATAGATATCGTTGTAAATTGTTTAAATGTAATATTTCTTAGATTACAGGTGAACGGGATCTTTTGCTAATGATTCACCCTATACATGTCTGCATTGGTGCCATTTTTTTTATGCTAAAACAGTAATTCCAAGTATAGGGCTCTCCTGAGTTTGTGAATTGTTGAATCTGGGGCAGAGGAAGCCTTCAAATTTGTAGCCATTAGGTCAAAAGTGAGAGGTACCTAGGAACTCCCAAGTTTATGATTGGCATCTGATAGTCTTGAACAGGACAAGCATTCTGGAGGACTGTGCTCTTTAACTTGTGAGATGTGACCTGGCTCTGGTGGTTACGGTCAGAGGAAGAAGAAATGCATTTTCAGTTGGTAGAGAAAATATGTAGAGTTAGTATGCATTGGAGAAGGCACACAGACACTATAATTAATAAATTACATTTATAAGCTCCTCACAAAGTAAATTTTCCATTTACCTTAAGGTCTCTATGAATCAACTGTTTTGAATGTATATAAGCTACTCCTGTTGTGATTTGTTTAAATAAATGCAAAGCCAAATCTTTGTCTGATTTCTTGGTTCTTTTTTCTTCGATCCATTGATCCAATGTCCCTTTATCACAGAATTCCATTTGGATGAAAAGACACCTAGTCTTTGACCTGGATATAAAATTCACAGAGTTAAAAGTAGCAGTAAAAATAAATTTATAAAAAAAATTTGTTCCTTTTTCTTATAATATGTCTTATGAACCCCACAAAACAAGTATCAAAGCAGAAATCTACTTATAATAAATATGAAACAAAATACATACACCATTCTCATTTAAATAAGATTCCAAAACGACCAAAGCTCTATTTGTTTAGGTAATTTATAAAGTATCTATCTGCCCATATTTTTGATACTGAAGGTTCTTGATCCCCTTTGCTTATTGATAAAATTAAATCACAGAAACCCCAAAATCTTTATAATGTACAGTAAGTTTGAAACTTTTTTTTTAAAGGAAAGATAATTTATTTAAATAAAATTAAACTGAAATGCAATCTTAATAAGAAGAAACATTGTGGAAGGGTTTAGAGGGAAATAAATTTGATTTAACCTCATAATACCATCACAAATCCAACTGTTGTTAAATGCCATCAAGTCGGTTCCAACTGAACCTTGCAGTTCAAACTACTTTGCAGTTTGATGCATTAACCCATAGCGCCACACTGGACTCCACAAGTCCAATTAGCTAGGTAAAAATAAATCTATAAACAATACTTAGATTAATCTCATAATCCAATTTTTCAGTTTTATACATATAAATGTAAGTAATAGCCTATTTTCAATCAAAACTGTTCAAAAATTTTTATCTTGAACTTCACATAAGGATACAGAACTTTTTAAGAGTTTGAAAGCAAATCTGATAGCCTTTAAAATCAGGGTTTAATTTGTTGTTTGATTCTTGTGTGTGTTCCTAATCAGAAGATGCAAAAAATCTACATAAACCAAATGTTCAGACATTGACAAGATTTTCCTAGATGAAAAAGTTCCAGCCTCACAGCAGTTTTTATCATTGCAAAATCCACAGGAGAAAGAGGAGAAATCTACCACAGATGGCATCAGGAAAAAATAGAAGGTCTTTTTAACAAACCTTTAACAGCTATTGGTGAGCACAAAATCTGTATCCAACTGCTTTCAAGTATCAAATCTTAGTTAGGCCTTTAAATAATGGGGTCAATATACAAAACTCTAGGGCCATGGCACTAAGTGTGTAGGTCCTGACAGAAACTAGAGGAAAACCACAAGATATTAAAGAATTCCCTCTGAAACCTCTAAGATTTTTTGCCAAATCTAACACATAGGCTGCTGAAGGAAGACTGGGGCTTATTGGACTGTGAGAAATCACTCCAGGGCTCTCTAGGCAGCCTCTGAATGTGTGGCAATGATCTTCCAACGATCCTCAGGTAAGCATAAAGGAAACCAAAGGATAAGAGAACATATTAATAATACAGGAGAAAATGTTACATTTTCTTCAAAAAAGTAGCAATTATACTGAAACTAGATTCTCCACAGAAATGAATCTTATCCGGTTGTACTATATCCTGGGAAATCTGGATCCCTATCAAGAATCTGTGCCCCAACTGAAAAATGAAGCAATTACCCTCTCTGCCCTCAAATCTCCCTATCTCTCTGGTGGTTCTATCAGTCCTCTCACTTCTGAAAGTATCCTAGGGGACTCACCCATCAGGGTTAATCACAATGCTTCAGGATGACCCATAGTTGTTGTTGTTGTTAAGTGCGTTCCGACCCATAGCAACCCTGTATAGGGTTTCCAAGGAGCAGCTGGTGAGCTTGAACCACTGACCTTGCAGTTCAAATGGCTTTGCAATCTGGCGCATTAACCCACAGCACCACACCAGGACTCCATAGTAGTATTCCATATTTTCTGATTACTGCTTTCTGTTCTCCTTTATTCTGTGCAAAAATCTGTGGCCAAGGAATTGATTCCAACCTTGTAGAACAGAGTAGAACTGTCCCCCATAGGGTTTCCTGGTGTGGCTCCGTGGGTTCATGTGGTGCACTGCAAAGTCAGTTTGAACCACAAGGTTGGCGGTTCAAGGTCACCAGCTGATAAGACTGGGAATCTTATCCCAATGTCTTTTCACCAGACCTATCTAGACAAGATGAAAACTATTCAGTGGGGACTCTATCTTCCTTCCCCACACACTATTAAACTAAACTCCCTCTTGAAACTGTGTAAGCCAGTCACTTCATGCCTGTATTGCTCCCTCATTTTAGGTAGCCAATGTCTAAGTTGCCTGTCCCTATCTACCCTGTGTACAGAGGGGATAGCATTGATACTTGATGTGAACACTCCTTCCCTCTCTGTTGGTATTTAGAGTTACTATCTCCATGAGTATAGATGATGTTCTTCAAATTGTAGCAATTTACTTTTGTTTCCTTTATCAAAAAAAAAATTTTTTTTTGGGGGGGGTGGTTTTGTAATCTTTCTCTAGTTGAGTTCTGATTATCAAGCCATTGAGGCTAGATCAAATGGGTATTGTAGGCAAGTTTGGGTGTCCTTGTGCATCTCCCTTTACTTCACTCTTAGCTCTAGTCCTCTGTGGCTATGTCCTTGTCCATGGGCTCAAGTGTCCCCAGGTTTCACTACACTATGGACCAATCAGCCCTTTCTTTTCTCTCTCTCATGTCCAGGTCAACAAGATTAATGGACTGTGGTTGAACTCAGCCCATTTCTTCATTGCTGCCTTTCCCCCTCTTCCACTCACCAGTAAGACCAATGTGGTCATCAGCAAGCTTACAAGGCTGTCCATGTGTTCCCTTTGAATTTCAGTCTTAGAGGGGAGTTTATCTTGAAGCAACTTGATTGATTGCCTTGATGTCTTCCTGGTGAACAGCTTGCTTATTCTTGTAGTAGCCAGTCATGCTGACATTTTTTTGGAGGGGTTTTCCTGATGATCTTTCTTTGAAGATGTATCTTCTGTCACTCTAGCTGTTCCAGGCCTGGTCTGCTTGTTCTTTCTAGTGGGGATGTCCCTCCTCAGAAGGTTCTGGATGGGACTCAGGAGTCCATCTAAGATCTTACACTCTGCAAAGGCTCCTCAAGAGGCCTATTTCATTGGGCAAGTTCTAGAACCCCTTTTAGGTATTCCAATTAGTTATAGGCTGAAGACGAAGTTACAAGTTTTCTGTAATCAAATCATGTTTCCCAACATTCCTTTCCACTCAAAGTGTCTATTTTACAATAGTAGGCAAGGGAAATCAATATTCATAAGACAGTCAAGCATTTTAGTATTATGTCCCCTATTCAAACTATGCCTAGATCCCTGTATCACAGAGCTCTGTTGTTCCAAGGTTGAGCATGCATCACTATTTACCTCTGTCCCACTTATCCTATGCAAACCTGTCTCAGTGTTCCCCCATCTGTTTTGTTCTTCCACCTCCTCCCCCTTCTTGTATTACCCTCAACACCTGGACTAAACCTCCCTTCCCAACCCCACTTCTCCCTAATCTCCCCAACCTAACCCTCCCGTTGTGGTTACCTTATATTTCATTTAAGACAGTCTATTTTATCCTGTAATCTGTTCTTGTTGGTTCTCAGTCCACAAAACTTCCTTTTGGATGTTTTTCATAGCAGGGTTGGCTTTAGCAAAATCCCTTATCTTCTGTTTATTCTAGAATGTTTTGATTACACCATTGTATTTTATAAACAGCTTTGCTGGGAAGAGGATTCTTAGGTGGCAGTTTTTTTCTTTCAGAATTTGAGTTTTATATATGTCTCCCCATTGCCTTCTTGCCTGTACTGTTTCTGTTGAGAGAGCCGAGCTTAATCTGATTTGTTTACCTTTGTATGTTATATTTCTCTTTTCCCTAGCTGCTTTCAGGATTCTGTCCTTATCTTTCATTTTGGAAAGCTGATTATTATATGTTTTGGTGATTGTCTTTTAGGGTCTGTCATTCCTGGGGTTTGCTGAGATTCTTGAATGCTTATCTTTTCGCTTTTCAGGATGTTAGGGAAATTTTCTTCCAGTAGCTCTTCAACTATCTCCTCTGTGGACTTGTATGATTCTTCCTGCTCAGGAATGCAGATAATTCTGAAGTTATTCCTCTTTATGTTATCCAACATGAATCTTAGACCTTCTTCAGATTTTTTTAATCCTTTTTCCTGCTTGCTCTTCTATCTTAGCAGTGTAGAAAGATTTATCTTCTAGTTCACTAGTTCTGGCTTCTATCTCTTCAATTCTACTCCTTTGCCTTTTCAGTGTATTGTCCATTTCTGATATTCTATTATTAATCGTTTGGACCTCTTTCGTAGGTTTTGAGTTGTTTCCAATGCTGTATCTATCTTATTTGATTGTTTCTGTAGCACTTTCCTAACTTCTTCCTTATTTTTCTAAACTCCATTATATAGTGTTTTGATATATTTTATAATCATTTTTCTGAATTCCCTCTCAGGCATTTCCAAAGCCTGCCCATCTTCCAGTATGCAGTGTAGGTCTACTTCCAGCTCATTTGCCTCAATCACTTTATCTTGTTTCTGGACATGTGCTGATATGGTCATCTGCTTCTGTTTTTTGTGTGTTTTTTTTTGGGGGGGGGGCATATTCAGGAGTAATCTGTGGCCGTAATACTTAGAAAGGTAGGTATTTTGGTATTTTTCATGATTTCTGATTGTCTCTAGGTAGATGTGATCAGGCGATGGGCTTCTCTTTTCACTCTTCTTCCTGAGAAATTTCAAGATGCTACTGTTGGTTGTTGTGATGTGACTCAGTATTTAATTTTCAGCCTATTTCCTTTTTAGTCTGCCTGTCCCACTCCACAATCCCCATTCAGGCCTTTTTCCTAGTGATACATAGTTCAGGGCCAGCTGTAGCCGTTTTGCACTGCCGTTTGGTTTTAAGTGGAAACTGTCACTTTAAATTTTGAGGAGATCTATGCACCTGTGTAGTAAAACCCTCTGAGGGTGGGGTGGGGTGTCCACTCGCTCAGGCACCACCTTTAGTCACCATATTGGAGGTGCGCACACAGCATGAGACCAGTAAACATGTACAAAAAAAAAAAAGTCCACACCTTTATCTCTGAGGTTCTGTTAGGCATCCATGGCAGCTCTGATCCTTCCCCCACTTGGTCTTGCCCAAGATGGTGGCTCCGGGAGCAGCTGAGCGCCTTGAATTACAAATCAATGGATTTCTTGCTTCTGCTACAAATTCTCCTAGCTGTAAGCTTTCCAACCTTATAAATATTGCTTTATATGTGGTTCCGAGTTTTGACAACATCCCCTAAGCCTGTTTGGTCTGGTATTCTGTGTTGTTGCTGACGGAGATCCTCACTGCACTTCTACCTGATCCGCCATCTTGTTTGTTCTCAACAACTATCTTTGCCTTCCAAACATAAATTTTGAAATTAAATAGCTATGTATTGAGTTATTACTATTTCCTATAATTCTGAAATAACCATCCTATGTTGTTGTTGAATGCTGCTGTTACTGACCCATAGCTACAGGACAGTGTAGAACTTCATCATAGGGTTTCCTAGACTATAATCTTTACCGGAGTACATCAATTCTTTTCTCCCATGGAATGGCTAGTGGATTTGAACTGCTAGCCTTTCAGTTAGTTGCCAAGTGCTTAACTATTGGTCCACCAGGGCTCCTTAACAATCCTATTCTGAGGACAATTTGCTTTGAATGTCTCCAATATGGATGTCTGGTATGGCGATGGTTTTGGATGTAAACCAGAGAATTTGAAATATTTTAATTCATTATTGATCTATTGAACATCTATTTCATGAAAGGCATCTAGCAGTAAAAAAACAAACAAAACTGAGTTACCATAATGGGGAATAGCACCTAATAGCAGAGAGATAAAAGGAAAACAAAATCTAAAACAACCAAACAAGTTTGATCCACTAAGGGAAGTGCCAACAATATGTTATAAGGTATAAGCTGGAGGACTGGCTTTGCTAACCATATTTTATAGTTTCTCTGAACTAAGTTGGTCTCCATATTAATTTATATTCTTTGCACATACTGACTAGAAAATAGGAAGAGGCAGCCAAGTATTTGCTGAAAACTGAAGAAGTCCTAAACGCTGATAGTTAATAACTTCTGAACTGAAAATAAACTTCTCGGCTACATAGGATGCATTGTCTTTCAGGAGACAGTGAGTGTACAGGTTTCCAGTGGCCTCAGGATTTCCATGAAAGGAGAATCCCCAAGAAACATGGGGCAACTTTTAACTGTATCAGGCAGATGCAGATGCCATGTCTTTTGAACCTTCTGACTCTGGCAGTCCCTTACTGAGACAACACGTGAGTGATGAAAGGTAGTGCTCCCACCACAGCTCATTGTCTTAAAATGATTTCTAAGGCCTACCAACGCACTATGGTGGTGGTGGTTATGTGCCCCGGAGTCGGTTTCCGACTCATAGCGACCCTATACAGGGTTTCCAAGGCTGTAAATCTTTACGGGAGCAGAAAGCCTCATCTTTCTCCGACGGAACAGCTGGTAGTTTCGAACTGTTGACTTTGCAGTTTGCAGCCTGATTTGTAACCACTACGCTACCAGAGCTGTGGTTACATCTGACAGATGCCTCTTGACAACACCCCTCCTACCAGAGGCCTAAGAGAAGGGCTGAAAAAGCTGACAGCCAAGGAAGGAACCTCCAGATACAACATCTAAAACATGTTAAAATTTTCCTTACAAGATTCATATACTGTACTGAAAGGAGGGGCTTGTGACCAAGATTACACATTAAACAAGAGAGTCAGGAGACTGAAACCTGGGGTTTTGAAAACAGCTGTGGACAAAAAAAAAAATAAAAATAAAAGGTTTTGCTTTATTTTTTTAGAACAAAAAAGCAAGTATGGATCAAAAAGAAAATGAGAGAAATTACTCATTGTCTCCTTACCTGCAGAATGGAAAGAAAACAGTGCCTCTAAGGGTGGTCGTGATTATTACATGTGAGAGCTTAGGGCCCTACCAAGTGCCTCCTTTCCTGCTCCCCCACAGTAAATGATCATTTCCTTCTGTCCCATTATGGCTATGAAAATTCGTTTTTAGTTACCTTGAATTATTCCTGCTTTCAGTTGGGTCATAGTCATGTCCATCCCAACAACAATGGTAGTGAACAATATTTTCATGATTAAGATTTGCCAATGCTTTTACTTCACGCTCTACTTTCCTAGTTAGAAGGAAAAGGGAAAATAAAAGTGTCAATATGCATCTCTGATAACAATTACAAAAATCCTCGAGTAGTAGGAGACAACTATCTCCACTAACTTATTAAAACAGTGCCTGTGGTTTCCACGCCTTGAGTTTTTGAATGGAAGTTTTAGAATTTCTGAAAAGGAGAAGTTGGCCCTCACAGAGCTTATAGGCCAAAGATAAAGCCAGGAAAAGTAAACATACAGAAAAAGCATCGCTGTTCACATACTCATAAACGAGAGAGCAGTGACTTTAATAGTTTCAAACACCAATTTTAAAAATCACTTATAGTAGCAGTTGAAATACCAATGATGCAATTTTGGGAGATAATTCATAAATTATGTTTTGTCTGTTGTTGGTAAAAACACATGTGAGACTTCATTGTGCATGGTGGGGGCTTTACAGTATTGTATAGTTAAGAAGTAAGACAATTCCACACTAAACAAAGCAAATAAATCTGAGATTTCAAGAGTGAGGAAGAATAAGCAATATTTTGCAATTTTTTTTTTTTACACTAAAAATCTTCTGCAGCGCTGTAGGATAAGTGCTTGACCACAAGTTTGGTCTGAATCTCAAGGTTGGCAGTTCAAACTCACCAGCCGCTCCTTGGAAACCCTATACAAGATAGCTATGTGTCAACACCGACTTGAAGGCACTTAACAACAACAAAACAAAATCAATTTGATGCTAGTGGGCTTTTTCATTTTTTAACTGTACTACATACAATCTATAACAAAAATTTTATATAAAAATACAGAAAAATCTATTAACAATAAAGAAAAATTTTAAACTTCAACAATTCTAAAACAGTATTATTAGATTGGGTTGTTCTTATAGTCTTTCTTCAAACATTTTTATGTATTTGTAATGTTAGTATATAATGTTTATGATTTTCCTTGTTATATAATCTGTGTAACCATAATTAGTATTATGAATTGAATTGGGTCCCCTCAAAAAATGTGGTTATAAAAAACCTCTAGGTGGTTATAATCCCATTTGGGAATGGGTTTTCTTTATGCTATTGAAACAAGGTTACTGTGTGGTATATTGTGAGTCAATCTCTTTTGAGAAAGAAAAGAAATGAAATATGTGAGGAATAATGAGATAAGATAGCTGCCAAAACACATGGCGATCTCTAAGGATCCAGAAGCTGAAGAGACAAGGACCTTCTTCCAGAGATAATGAAGAAAGAGTCTCTCTAAATCTGGCACTCTGAATTTGGACTTTGAGTCTCCTAAACTATGAGAGAATAAATTTCTGTTTATTAAAACCATCCACTTGTGGTATTTCTATTATAACAGCATTAGAAAACGAAGATAATTTGTAAATGTTTATGTAAGATTTCAAAAATACAAAAAATGTAGTAATAATAGTATAATGAGTTGGAATTGGCTTGAGGGCAGTGGGTTTGTTTTTTGGCATATACCACCTTCAGTTAAAATACAGGTATGCATTCCTTAACCTCCACCAGCCCACAATGCGTTCTGAAGTAGGTCAGTAGGCGTCTTGGCCATTGTGGGAATACTTTATTATCATTACACAGGAGAGAGGCATGAAAGATGGTTGCCAGTGGGGCCCAGGTCTGTACTGCTGTGTGGAGGGACTGTGAAAAAACCTTGGTTTCACCACTGAGGTCCTGCATGTTCACCACCAGGTCTCAGAGCCTCACCTTGGGCTCCCTTCCCTTCCTTCCTGCCTTTGTTGCCCTGGTGGGGAGCTAAAGGATAAGCATTGGAATGCTAGCTGCAAGGCTACTGGTTCAAACCTACCAGCCACTTCTTGGAAATGCTATACAGAATCACTATCAGTTGGAACCAACTCCACGGCACTTAGCAACAGGAATAACATCAACAGTAAGGGACTTTACATTTGTCTACCTCTGCCCACCCACCACTTTTTCCTCCTTCACCCACCACTCCTTCAGCCATCACCTGCTGTTAAGCAGCTGCCACTGTAAGAGGACCTGTGGCCTTGGGCACCCTGTGTCATGTGCAAGGTGCCCAACTGAGTGGGGCAGTGGCCTTGGCCAGCAGTGGCTCCAGCAGTGTCTGCATGGCCCCTGCCTGAGTCAAGCATCATAGGATAGATAACCGTGGATGGGCCTGGTGCCTCCTCCTTCTGCTTGATTCAGACAGGGGGCCTGGGAGCTCCTGAGAGACAGATATCCACACTTAGCAAAGTAAATCCATTAAGTCACACTCTCCAACTAGGTTTTCTGAATTCTATTATAACCTTTGGGGATAACAGATGTATATGCAGTCAGATCTTAAGCATTGCATGCCTGCAGTTCACTGATTCCTGTATGTAACTCTCATTTATACCTCCTCCAGGGGCTGACATTTTTCAGTCTGCATTACTTATTCACCAAAAAGTATGATTTGATTTTTTAACATGGATACTTAATTTTGTAAGAAAACACATTAACAAGGATCATCATAACTTTCATTTCTCTATTTTCAATGCTCTATTCCAGTTCTTTAAATATTCTGTCTTTATAAAGCTATGGTTTACAAATAACTGAAATGTTTTGACCTGTAAAAAGAACCAACATAAAAATCAGGTTCTTTCTTTCCATACTCTGAATCTCCACCGTTCACTCTGAAACTAAACTCCCTCTTGAAAACTTTTAAGCCAGTTACTTCATGCATTTATAGTCCCCATTTTAGGTAGCGAATATCTAAGTTGCCTGTCCCTATCAACCCTGTGTACTGTGGCGCTGAGGGCTAATGCATCAGACTGCAAAGTCGTATGAACTGCAAGGTTGGTGGTTCAAGCTCACCAGCTAGCTGCTCTTAGAAACCCTATACAAGGTCTCTATGGGTCTGAATCGACTCAATGGCATTCAACAACAACAACCACCTCTCTCTCCATTCACTCTGAAACTAAACTCCCTCTTGAAAACTTGCAAGCTAGCTACTTTGTGCCTTGATAGTCCCCCATTTTAGGTAGCGAATGTTTAAGTTGCCTGACCCTATCAATCCTGTATACTGAGGGGATAGGCTTGATCCTTGATGTGAAGACTCTTTCCCTCTCAGTTGATATTTTAAGCTACTACATCCACAAGTAAAGGTCAAGGTCATCAAATTGTAGCAATTTATATTTGCTTCCTGTATCAAACTTCTTTATCTCCTTCTAGTCCAGTTCTGATCATCAAGCCATCGAACTAAGTTGAATAGGCACTATTTGCAAGTTTGGGCATTTTTGCGTGCCTACCCCCGACTTCACTCTCAGCTCTAGCCCACGGTAGTTAGGTCAGTGTCCATGGGCTCAGTTCCCAAGTATCCCCAAACTTCAAACCTACCAGCCCTTCCTCTTCTCTCTCTCTCTACTCAAGGTCAACAGGAGTCTATGGAATATGGTTGCACTCAGCCCCTGTCTTTATTACTGCCTTTCCCCGACTTCCAGTCACAAGCAGACCAATGCGATCACCAGCGAGCTTACATGCTTACTCATGTGTTCCCTTTGAGTTTCAGTCTTGGAGTAGGATTTGTCCTAAAGGGACTTGATGGCTCCTAGGCAAACAGCTTGCTTTTTCTTGTAATGGTCAAACAGTCTGCCATTTTTTGTTTCTCTGTTTTGTTTTATTTCCTGCTGGTGCTTCTTTCAAGAAGTATCTTCTGTTCCTCTAGCTAATCCGGGTTGGTCTGCATGTCCTTTCAAGTGGGAATCTCCCAACTCAGAAGGTTCTGGATGGAGCTCAGGATTCCACTTAAGGTCCTATACACTACAAAGGCTCCACAAGAAGCCTATTTCACTGGACAAGTTCTAAAACCCCTTTTAAGTGTTCCAATCAGTTACAGGCTGAAGACAGAACCCTCATTTTTAACAGTTGCAAAATAACCACTGATTAGAGGAAAGAACAGAGTCCTGGTGTGGCGCTGTGGGTTAATGCACTTGACTACAAAGTCGGTTTGAACCACAAGATCGGCAGTTCAAGCTCACCAATTGCTCCTTGGAAACCTTATACAGGGTTGCTCTGGGTTGGAGTTGGCTCAACAACACTTAACAGCAACAAGGGGAAAGAATAACAAATAACTTTCTCTACAATTTTGTTTGCTCTAATTTTTCACTATTATAAATAACACTGATTTATATCTTCTTTTATAGTTTTTTCCATAATTCAGACAAGGCTCTTACAGTAAGTTCCCAGATATGATGTCTCTGGGTCAAAACCATAAATATATTTATGGCTCTAGAGTAATATTTGCAATTTTAAAAACGTTGTACCAATTTACAAAGGGACCAGAAATGACCTTATCAACTCTGAGTATTGTCATAAAAGATTGCTAGTTAATGGAGGAAACAGCTTCATTCCTATTAATTAAAACAATGAAGAAGGAAAAAACTTTTTTTAATAAAAATTGCTGTAAAGGTATAATGCAACATTTGACAAGTCAACATTTTCATGTATACAATTTAGTAATATCATTCAACTTAATCATGTTGTACAACCATCACCCGTAATTGTTGCCAAATTTCTCATCAGTATAAACAAAAATGTATCGCCTTCTAAAAAGCAGTTCAACCTTTTCTCCCCAAAGAATTGTTCTGATGATAAGTATGAGTGTATTTCAACTGCAAAGCACTGTACAAGACAATGATTGATTGACTGGTGTGAGGAGTACTTAAGACTCCTTGTCTACTCTTCTCTTTTACTCTTGCTATTTTCCCTTAGATTAGATCCTGTTCTCATCTGTAATCCCTGAGGGATCAGTCTGGCAAAGTTGTACACAGTAACAACTGCCAGAAATCTAAAAGTCAGATTGGTTCACTGGGGAACATGTTATTAAAGAAAAGAAGAGCAGATAATACATAAAATAAACACAGGAAGCAATACATTATAGTGGGAACACATTAGACTGACATTCAAAAGAATGAATTCTAAATCTCCACTGTGTTAGTATCGTAGACTCCAAAGATTTGTTTGTTGTTGCTGTTAAGTGTTGTCAAGTTGGTTCCAACTCATAGCGACCCTGTACAGGATTTCCAAAGAGGTTCATCATCAATTCCTTCCCTCCCTATACTCACATGGTTGTTGGTGGTTATGCATGGTGGACTTGATTCTGACTCACAGTGACCCTGTATAGAGTTTCCAAGATGGTAAATCTTTATAGGAGCAGAAAACCTCACCTTTCTCCCATGGAGCCTTTGGTAATCTTGAACTACTGTCTGTGCCACTCCTCAAATCCAGAGTCTATTTGTCTTTACCTTGAATCTGAGCTAGACTTAGTGGTTTGTTTAACCAATATAATGGGGTGGAAGTGACATTCAGAGGCTTCTAATACTGTATTAACAGAAGTCGTGTTGTTTCTTCTTGGCCTCTTGAACAATCTCCTTTCAGAAACTACTCACTACATTGTGAGAAACCTGAGTGTGGAGGCAATGTGGTAGACAGGCCCAGCTGAACTTACAGTCCACAGTCAGCAATAGCTGCTAGCCATGTGAGAGATCTACTTGGGATGTCCATTTAACCTTTTAATTGGCTCCTGATTGCAAATGCTTGGGAGACTCCTAGTGACAACTGCCCAAATGAGCCCAACTAATACACAGAACCATGAGAAATAACATAAACTCTTTTAAGCTACTACTTATTTGGGTGGTGAGCTCTGGTAGCGTAGTGGTTATGAATCGGGCTGCGAGCTGCAAGGTCAGCAGTTCGAAACTACCAGCGGTTCCACGGAAGAAAGATGAGGCGATCTGCTCCTGTAAAGATTTACAGCCTCGGAAACTCTGTACAGGGTCGCTATGAGTCGGAACCGACTCCATGGCACATAACAACAACAACAACAACTATGCAACAATAGATAACCAGAGCAACTGACAACTTTCTTTTCCCTTACACAAATGCATTCATATCTTTGGATCTCAGTCTCCTAATCTGTAAAATGAAATAAGATTAGGATAATTCAAAGATTGCTTCTAGGCATACAAAGGGGCTTCAAAAAGTCATGAAAATTTTTTGTTATCTTTTAATTCCACTTCCAACAAACTTTTAAAGCTCCTTTGTATGATTCTATAGCTTCTATTCACAAAGACAGTCTCAAAAGGATGGTAAATGGAATATTCACTTTTTATTGAAATAACCCATCACTCATCCATCAGTTTACCATACTGTGGTGGTTGGCATGTCACCACAGTATGCCACCAGTATTTTAAATACCAGCAAGGTCAACAATGGTATTTGGTTTTCAGTTGAGTTTCTAGACTAAGACAGTCTAGGAAGAAGTAGAGGCTATTTCTGAATGTTTAACCACTGATAACTTTATGAATAAAATACTGTCAGATAACACCAGATATTGAATATCAAAACATTAAGAATAGCATCACAATATTGTCAGATATAGTGTCGGAATATAAGCCCCTCATCTTGAAAGGAACTCAAAATACAACTGAGGAACAGCTCCTCCTTAAAGTAGAGTTGACCTTTAAGACGGGAAGAGAGTTAAACTTTTGGGACCTTCATTGATAATGGGGCACAACTCAAAATGAGGACAAGTAGCAGTAAATATCCATTAATAACTGGAACATAGAATGTACAAAGTATGACTCTAGGAAAATGGGATGATGTCAAAATGAAATAGAAGGCAAAAAGATCAATATTTTAGGCAGTTAAGGTCAGCGGTTCGAAACTACCAGACGCTCTGCCAGAGAAAGATAAGGCTTTCTACTCCCGTAAGGATTTACACCCTCGGAAACCCTGTACAGGGTCGCTATGGGTCGGACCCGACTCGACGGCACTTAACAACAACAACAACAACAAAGCTGAAACAGACTCATATTTGCCATTTTGAAACCGACAACCATATGGTTTACTATGCTGGGAAAGACAAACTAAAGAGGAATGGTATTGCATTCATCATCAAAAACAACATTTCAACATCTAGCTTAAATACTATGCTGTCTGTGATAGGATAATATCCATACACCTACATGGAAGACCATCTAATACCACTATTATTCAAATTTTGGTTCAATCAGTAAAGCCAGTGATGATGAAGCTGAAGAATTCTATCTTCTTCAGTCTGAAATAGATCAAACATGCAAGCAAGATGTACTGATAATTACTGCATATTGGAATGCAAAGATTGGAAACAAAGAAGAAGAATTAGCAGTTGGAAAACATAGTCTTGGTGACAGAAGCAATGCTGGAGGGAGATCACATGATATAATTTTACAAGACTTATTCATTGCAAATACTTTTTTAAAAACAACATGAAAGATGACTATACACATAGACCTCAACAAATGCAACAAATCAAATTTATTATATCTGTGGAAGGAGTTGGTGGAAAAGCTCCATATCACCAATCAAAATAAGGCCAGGAGCAGACCATCAATTGTTCAAATGCAAGTTCAGGCTGAAGATGAAGAAAATGAGAACAAATCCATGAGAGCTAAAATGTGACTTTGAACATAGCCTCATGAAATTAGAGATCATCTCAAGAACAGATTTGATGCATTAGACACTAAAGCGCAAAGAACAGAACAGTTGTGGGATAATATCATGACCAGCATACAGGAAGAAAGCAAAAGGTCATTAAGAAGACAAGAAAGGAGGAAAAGGCCAGAAGAGTTGTGGGATGACATTAAGAATATCATACAGGGAGAAAGCAAAAGATCATTAAGAAGACAACAAAGAAGGAAAAGACCAATATGGATATCAAAAGAGATTCTGAAACTTGCTTTCCAGAATAGAGCAGTTAAAGCAAAAGGAAGAAATGAGAGCAGTGTTTTTTTCTGTGTGTATAGGGTCTCTGTGAGTCAAAACTGACTCAATGGCATCCAACAACAACACTGAAATAACCAGGGCATAATGAGATCAAGTCAAGTTCTTGATGGTAAAATGAAATTTTTAAGGAAGACCAAAAAGAAATGTTAGAAGAAAATGGAAAAAAGAGAAACAAAAAGAATAGGGTAGTTACAGCACATCTTCTCATTTAAAAAAAAAAAGAACATTTACTACTTACTCATTATTATATTTAACACGTTTAACAACATAAGTCTTCTTATCAATTCTGTGTTTTGCTTTGAAAACTTGGCCATATCCACCTTTGCCAATTGGTTCTATTTCTTCAAAATCCATAACAAACCTTAAAAGATAAATAACATATATTATAGGAAGTCCTGGTGTGGTGCTGCAGGATAATGTGCTGGACTGAAAGAGCGATTGGAACCACAAAATCGACAGTTCAATTCACCAGCCACTCCTAAGAAACCCTATGCAGGGTTACTATGAGTTGGAAAAGACTCAACGGTATCTAACAACATCAACATACTAAGGTACAAATCTCAATGCCACCACGCCTTTACCTTTAATGCCACTTGTCAAATGGAATGTATAACAAACATTCTCCCCTTTTGAATCAGGAGGGTCTATAATCACAGAATTCTTGAACCACAAAAGATAGAAGGTCCTCCCTTTCTACCTCCTATGGAGACTCTTAACATAACAGATTACCTAAGGGAGTCACAGTCAACTCCTAGCTATACAAAAATCATGGTAAAGTATATTACTACAAGTATAAAGCTTAAGAACAGCCATATTTTATTCCTTAGATAAATGAGCACATGTTCTAAGTCTGCCTAGATTTATAACTACGTGGTTTTCCCCTTCTTCTCATGCCCCACATTTCACCATGAGGTCCTTGAACTCTACTTCCAAATATTTCTCTGTAATCTGTCCACTTTTCTATATCTCCAACATCTTCACACTAGTCCAAGCTTCTAGCTGCTCATGCAGTGCCTTCCTAACTGGACACTCCACTTCCTCTCATACAGTCATGCCAATCCAAGATCCACAGAGAAACCAGTGATAAAATTTCATCTGGTCATGTCACTGTTGTCTGTAACCACAGAGAGACTGCCTTTGCATATAGTACACTGAGAAATACATCCTTTAAATGGCCTAAAAGTGCCACTTGACTTGACCCCAACCTCACCTCATGGTACTGTACCCTTGCTCACTGCACTTTGAATACTCAACTTCGCTCAGCCTGTTGAACATTCACAGAGACCCTTTCCATCTTTAACCTTCTCACATGCTCTTCCTGACTGCTAGCATCCAACATCCCCACCTTCTAGCATTAACTCTTCCTCCAGGCATCCCCACAAATGTGATCTCAGAGAAATCTTGCCTCACACCTCCCTCGAAATATAGGGGTCCTGACTGTTTTAGATTCTAACCATGTCATGACATTGCCTTCACAACCCTGACCAGAGTTTGTAATTACAGACTTACTCATGTAATTGTTTCCTTAATGTTAATCATCTGGGCAAAACTCCATGAGAGCAGGAACTGTTTGCATTGGTTCCTACTGTAAACCCAAGGCCTAACACAGCACCAGTATATATGAGGTGCTTAATAAATACTAGTTAATCCTTTTTTTCCCTTTTCATTGCCCTCCCCATTACCCAAGCTATCATGTATCTGTCCCCTAACCTGTGAGTTACTGTCCCCTCCCTTCCTTCCCTGGTAATCATCAAAGAATTATTCCTTCAGTATGGAAATCTTTTCTTAAGCTTTTACAATAATGGTCTTATGCAATATTTGTCCTTTTGTGCCTGTAATTTCACTCAGCATTATGTTCTCAAGATTTATCCAAGTCATGTGTTGTTTTGCAGCTTCACTGTTATTTTGTAAGGTAGCATAATATTCCATTGTGTGTATGTAGCAAAATTTGTTTATCCATTCTTCCATTGATAGGCACTTAA